TAATATATCCTCTCTTCTCTCTCTCCTCCTCTCTCTCTCCCTCTCCCTCTCTCTCTCTCTCATTTCAGCACTTTCATGTAAAAGATATATACCTAGTGATGCATACATCCCTTATTAAAATTATTACTTTAACATTAGATTAGCATTGTGTTGTTAAAATGACGTCATTGCTAAAATTAAGAAAGAAAGAATATATCATACGGAAAATTCCTGTTTGATCCAATCCGTTTTTTTGGATTGCACTTTGTGCCTATGTTGACATGGAAATTACCGTATGACCCAGTTTATCTTATTGGTTACCCTTTGCATTCAAATATTGTTGTATTGAAAGATTGCTTAATATTATATAAAATGCTGGCTAAAAAAGTTACCATTATTAATCATATATTATTGAAAAAGATGACAATTAAAATTTAAAAAAGAAAATGCTAACATCAAAAGGATTTTAAATTTGATGAAAATACTACCAAAAGAGTAAGAGGGACAAATGATATCAAATGACATTGCCTTATGATGTGAACGAAATGGAACTTGAAAAGAAAACTGAATGATAAAAATGATGACAAAAAAAAATGAGATTACATGTCATCATTCAATGATACAACGAGTATTATTTCCATTATCTTTCCAAATAAAGTTTTTCTTCTCCTAAATATACAAGGCAAGAGATCAAAATGTACACTTTTATTCTTTGAAGATCATTTTTGGAGTAATTTTTAATTATTTCGTTTTCCACTTTATGCATCCACTACTCTCTCTCTCTCTCTCCCTTTTGCACAAATCCTACCTCTTGAAAAATGACATGAAATCTCTTAGAACTAATTAATCATGATAAAAAACACTTATCTATCGATTAATTCGTTTTTATGAAGCTCTCTAATAAGAACATGAGAATGTTTTTATTAGCCTATCCACTAACGATACTATTTATACACATCCTGGTCCATTCACCTGCTATCACTGCTTATCACTGTTATCAGCTATTATCATTGTCGCATATCATTGTTACTTACACTTCTTACCAATAAACAAAGCTACTTTTGGCACTTATATCATTTTTGTTAGCAAGTGATTTATTCCTTTGCTACCTGTTATCTGCATATCAATGCAACCATTACTATCTTAACATCTGTTGAATCTAGCAATCAACGGATATCGATTTATCATAATATTCTTTCTTATCTTTCCCATTGGGTACATCAATAGTACTTAATTTATAGACCAATATTTTGGAATAAATTTTTAATTAATCCTTTTCCTTTTGGAGAAGAATAGTGAAAATGTTTGCAAAATGATGAAATGCTTGAATAATGTATGTTATTCATTTAAATTAATTTGAAATAACAATCTCTCCATTACTACAAACCGAAAGTTAGCAAAAACATTCTATCACTTTGAATGGAAAAATCAAATATGATGAATCTCTTCTCGGAAGGACAGTGTTTAAATGCATTACTGAAAGGTCAACCTTATTTATACGGTTCTTTAATGCATTATTGCAAACCGGAATTAGTTTGCCATCATATCATTTCATTTAATTTAATCGGTTTCTTATTAATTAATCCTAAACAATGAAATGATGACTTTGTTTCCTCATTTTTAAAACATACCATTGACTCTGTCATAGTAATAGTGTCATCTATTTATGATGAAAGGGTTGCATGGCTTGTATTTCGGGCGAGATTTAAGTGTAAAATAAAGAACCAATTATTAAGTAAAAATTAAGTACCGAGTAAGGCTGCTACAACACCTCCCTTGGCAGCATCCAACATCAATGAACTCTTCTCATAGTATCGCCGACAACTATAAAAATTTTTTCATGAAATCTTTTGAATCTATCAAAAAAATGGGAATTAGTAAGAATATTTCTATTCAACCTTTTCTTCATTTCCATCCATTCCGCTTTCCTTTTATCCGGTCAAAAAGTATTTTCTCATTTGAAAATAACTTCAAATCCAAGTCCTCTTTAAAACGATAAAAAAATTACTGCACGGAGTTGTGAATGAATCCAATAATTGCCGGTAATATTTTTGCCAACAGCGCAAATCTAATCCATAAATAAGATGATGGACATGACCTGATAGTAAGCATTAATTAGTCGAACGAAATAAATTTTACTCTAAAACACAATAGTAATGCTACTTTTGAGTTAATGTACAACACCACCCTTAATGAAATTCTTAATTTACAAAAACAGAACAATAAATTCAAGCAGTGCAAAAAAAAAAAGAAAAAAAGCTGTCACATTAGATAGGACAGTTTATTAACTTTTCATTCTCTCTAACTTCAACAAAAGAAGGAAATGTAAATAATCCACGTGAAAAGACAAACGTAATTTCGTCATCATGAGCTTTGACTGTAAGTGTCAATACAGTTGCTGCTTCTGGACAAAATTTAGCAATATTATGCAGAAGGGCGTAAGTTGAACGTTCGCCGAATAGTCCAAGCAGACGACGTTTCAAACCATCTAATAAACATTGCTCCACTGCTGCTGCAATATCCAAAATTGCATTAAACTAATTGAAATTTCATTCCCCAATTAAAAAGGAATTTCTTGGAAAGAATAAAAACGTTCTCCTCTTATGAAATTACGGATTTTTGTTGCTACATTGTCCATTTACATTGAAATAGCAAGATAATACCAGTTAGTTTTGCATAAAAATCAAGTGGAAAGTTTATGAAATTGAAAATTATCTTTACCGCATAATGAGGTCACATATGTGCTTTTGGCGCTAATTGCTTTCCGATTTACAGACTCTTCCATAATGACTTTCACCTGAAATAATGGATGACCAATAACCAATGGAGATTTGGAAGATATCCATACAAGGAAGGATAAGAGTTGCGTTGAACAACCTACTTAATTGAGCACAATTCACCTCTCTTTTTAATGTATTCAGCAGAAATTCTTTACGACGTGTTGCTTCAGTCGGTGCTTCAGTATCAAAATCACAGATTATTGTACTGCTACTTCGTTTTCCCGTTTCAATTCCACTCTCACTTGCCTTCCGTTCCGTAAGAATGGAATCCTGGGAACGCATCATGAATGTTTCCCAAGCACTGGAATGCCGAACCATATGGGCTACTCTGTTCATCCTTCTCTTTAACATAAAAATTTAACTTCATTATTGCAAGTAAATTAGTTTAAAGCCAAACTTTTCTTTTCCCTGGCCACTTTCTCTCCTATCTTTCTCTTTCTCTCTCTCTCTCTCTCTCTCTCTCT